CACCTTCTCCAACATTGTTCTGTTAAGTCTTTCAGAAACAACATTTTATTGGGGAGTGTAAACTGTGGTGAAGTGACGAGTAATTCCCTCCTCTGTACAATAACTTTGAAACTCCTCAGAAGTATATTCGCCGCCGTTATCCGATCGTAAATATTTTATCCTCTTGCTAGTCTGAGTTTCAACTTGTAGGCGCCAAGTTTTGAAGGTGTGAAACACCTCAGACTTGTGGATTAGAAAATATACCCACACATACCTGGAGTAATCATCTATAAAAGATACATAGTAGAGCTTTCTTGAGAGTGAGGCCGTAGGAGATGGGACTCACACGTCACTATGTACATACTCCAGTATCTCTGTGGAATTATGAGTTCCAACATCAAAAGCTCGCTTATGCTGTTTTCCAATGATGCAATGTTCACAAAATGCTAAGTCAACTTTACCCAAACCTGGTAACACTCTTTTCTCATCAAGAAGATACAAGAAGTATCTATCATTCATATATCATAGTCTAGAATGCCATAAATGAGACAACTTTACGCGAGATCTGATAATGTTAACTTCTCCACAAATTGTGATGCCCTCTAGTAAGTAAAGATTATTGTGCTTGTATACCCTAAAGATAACATTCTTATCACTGGATGTGACATCTAACACGCCATGCATAGAGCTCCACTCTAAGCCGTGTGAGTCTAGCACTCCAAGAGAGATCAAGTTTTTTCTCATGTTAGGTATAAACCTAACGTGTGTTAATGTTCGGGTGGCTTCATCAAACATGCGGATTTGTACAGATCCCACACCCTCAATCTTACAAGGTTGGTCATTCATCATAAGAATGGAACCGTTTGATCATGAGAAAGTACTGAAGAACTCTCTAATGTAACAAATGTGATAAGAACAAGCACTATCTAAAATCCATACATGACCAACAACTGTTGGTGAACTACAGAGGGCATACCTCTGGCATCATAGACCTTTGGCAAACACGTCTTCCTTTTCGGAGTGAAGATGCTCCGCAACATTTGCCACTTGAGAAAGATTCGCATCTCTTACTATCATCCGATAGTCCTTCTTGATGTGGCCAGTCTTGCCACATCTCCAACACACCAAGTTCTTCAAGTTACTCTTGTTAGGCAGATGGAACTCGAAACTGAATTCTCCTTCGCTTAGGGGATCTGGATTTCTGACGCTTGAATCATGTACGCTGCAAATTGTCCAAACCCTACGGTTGCGACTTACCCCGAGTCACAATAAGTGCAATACTGGAAGTGAGTGGGCAAGAGAATGACAACATCTCCTGTTCTACCTCGTCTGCTAGGAGAGCACTTATAACCTCGTTGTAAGTTACAGCCTTGTTATCACGATGAAGGAGAATCTTTGACAATGTCGGGTAGGAAGAAGGCAATGAGTGGAATAGATGCATAGCTTTCTTAATGTCAGAAAGCTCCTCTTCCATACTCTGAAGATCAACCAACAAATCTCTGTAGGCGTGAATGTGATCCTGAATTCTTGATCATGGCCTCATCTTGAAGTTCAATAGCCTCATGTAGGTATTCATCACATGTGATATTTTCTTGTGATGAAAACGTCTTTGTAGGGCATCAAAAAGTTGTGTAACCTCAGAATACTCCTCAATTTGTTTCATAACTGAAGGATCTAGATAACCCATCACAATGTAGACTGCTTGTTCTTGTGAATCCTTCCGGTCAATGTCGGTAATGTGCATTGGTTTGTCTCTAAGCACATTAGCGAGATTAATAGATCTCAGCTTGCCTTTCATCTGTTTATCCCAAAGAAGGTAATCACCTTGGCCATCAAGAGGAAGAATGTTGTACCCTCTTGCTCCAACCTGTTTCCATGCCATTTCAGTTCGACAAAAACTTGTGACAACGTCTGCTTCCGCGTCAATTTTTTTCTTTAGATGCATTTTCAGCTTTTGAAAATGGTCACGATGCACTAGTTGCGTCAGGAGCTTTCCAACGATACCCAATTTGACTATATTCCGACAGAGAGAGTTTGAAACGGAATATGCACAAATAGAATATTCCACTAACGAGATGGAATCTGTTGCAAATCAGAATCTTCAAGACAAAAAATGATCTGGCTGGAACTGCATGCCTGTGCGCAAATTTTGCCCCCAACTACCGTCGTCCGCGACTCCCGTTTCCCGCGACTGCAATATCCGTCACCCGCGACTCACGTCGCCCATGACCAATGTCGCATGCAACGTAAATATCCGTCACAAGCGACTCCCGTTGCCCGCGACTGCAATATCTGTCACCCGCGACTCACGTCGTCCGTGACCACTATCGTCCGCAATGTAAATCGGGTGGGATGACCGTTGGTCCCCGCCGCTCGGGGCGGGTGGGATGACCCTCGGTTCCCGCCGCTCGGGATCCTGCCTCGGGTTAGGTGGGTTCCTACCTCGAGGGGTGGGTCCCTACCTTGGGGGGTGGTTTTAGGGTGTTTGGTGTCAACTCGACACTAAAGACTCCGCTGCAGAGGGGCGGTGGTACGCCTCTCCCACGATCTTTCGGCCTGCTACTCGAACTTCACTGTAGAGGGAGAGTTACGGAGTCTGCCGCCGATGCCCTACTCGAGACGAACTGCTACTTTCACTCCACAAACCACCTCTGTGAACAAAAAATCACGTGCGGGAAAAAATATATATTTTGGCAACGAGCGCTCTAGCAACCCTTCAGAAAACAGCACTACGCTTCTGTTCTCTTCAACACCTCTTCTCTTGATGGATTCATATGTTCACTAGCAAGGCTCACTGTTGTCGGCAGTAACAGAAGAATTCTCAGCAGCTTCAAATGCACGGTCTTGACGTCGGATACTGTTCCAGATTCTGACAGGGACACCTCATCTCCCAACTATACATTAGTAATTGTCTCTTAACAATCTGCGTGGAAAAAAAATTCTCATTGATTCACTTTAGTTGTGTCACTTTCAGAAGCTACTTTCAGAACCCTTATCTCTTGAACGCAGAAAAAACACTTTTACTAATCACAAGTTTCTCATCAATTCCAAACCAAAATATTCATAAAGTTCTCAGTACTGAAACTCAAAAGTCTGTCAGTTTATCAATCTCTCGAAAGAAAAAATAACAAAGTAATAGAAAACTGAACCTTCCAAACACTTTCACTTCAACCTAAACAGGGACTTTTGTCTGAAACTAAGAAATGAAAATGAAAACGTCGCTGTCAAAAACTTTGAACCTAAACATTGAAAATTGGGACTTTTGTCTGAAACTAAGAAATGAAAAAAAAAATTCGCTGTTAGAAACTTTGATTACCAATTCTGAAAAACACTCGTCTCCAACCTAGAAAGGAAAAAAAAAAACTTAAACCACTGACGGGAAAAAGAAAATGCTCTGAAACACAAGTCGAATCGGAATCAGCTTTGATACCAATTCCTAAACTTAAAACCAAGCGTCACCCAAGTCAAGCACAAACACAAGAGACACTCATATAACGTGGTTCACCTTCGGGGCCTACGTCCACAGCTGAAGCGCACGAGAGAATCACTGACAGCTGAAATACTGAATGCACACCTGAGTAGAAGCCCTGGGGATATATTTATACCCTAAAGCCATCGACACACGTAACTATAAATAGCTATAACCTGAGGTTACTCTCAACCGGAGTTAGCCTCAACACATATAAATGCATAAAATTGAATCCCAAGATGGGATTGTGATTGAAAGATTAGAATCTAATGACAATCAGATTTGAAAATCAAAGATATCCAATGTCAATAATTGTACTAGATTGGATACTATTGAATGTGAAAAATGTTGATGTAGTGATTTCATGAACTATGAAGTTGACTAAATTAAATCATATGTTGATTACTAAATTTGATGTATTATAATTTTCCAATAATATAATTTGGTTTTTAAAAAATACATGATTACAAAACAAGTGAAAATTTCATAAAAGTGAAAAGTATTGAAATTAGGTTGGATTAAATTATATTCATATATGTCATTAAAAATGTCATTTTATTGTAATTTTCTTTCATATTCATGTGTTGAGTCAATTTACATCATGATTGAGGTAATCAATCATAAAATGTACCTAAAAAATAATTTTGAATCATAGGAACTCATTATTATTGAGTACAATTAATCAAAAAATTTAGAAAATATGCATGAAAACACATATGTAGAAACATTGTCAGTTGACATTTTTCTTTGGATATCAGTGTCCTGTCACATCGTCATGAGTTTTCAAAATGTTTATCATAAGTAAGAAAAGTATCTAATGTAATAATCGCACACTGCAATGTGGCGAATGAAGAAGATGAACGTAAAATTGTTAAGAGAGAAAATAAACAGACACAATATTCTATGGTTATGACCATATCGTGTTCGGCAGTCATGATTTAATGAAGGAGTGTATATAGAAAGAATGTTATTCAACGTTTTCATGTTTATCAGCCACATTTTTAGTTTGGTAAGATAGAAATTGTTTGACGTTTAGTCATGGGCTGAAAAAGTTTTTTGTTTGAAATACGTTAGAGAACAAATCTTTACTGAAATAATATGGAGAAATTTGCTTGATGGGACCCCATAAGAACCCTGACTGCTTGATGGTACCCAATAAGTTCCATTTTACCCGATGGACCCCTCCGACGGGTCACTGTAAGTTATGTTCTTGTAACTGATTTGTTTCCACTTCAATGAAAAAAAAATTTGCTTCCTGAATTTAAGTTAGTTAGATTTTCCATGGCTCCCAATCTTCATCGTGGAAGAGACCAATTTCTCACTTCCCATAATGATTTTTCTAAAACTCATAAAACATGGTAAAAATCATGTCAATTGTGTATTTGGTCCGTGAAGTGCATTTCACTTTTCAACAAAGAGCTTCAGTGCTTTTACTAACCTGGATTGAAAGGAATTACAAGAACTCGCAGTAAAACATCGGTGACGGCGGAAGGGTCCCATAGGGTAAAATGAAATTTAAAATCGGGTAAAAAAATGGAATGGAACATCCGGTAAAATGGAGGGCGGAAGGGTCCCATCAAGCAAATTTCTCAAATAATAAGTGAAAGAGTGTATTCAAATTCATGCTATCGCTCATAAAACATAACGCAAGCCTAAAGCATAGATCAGGTGTAGACGAAACAGAAAGAGCAAGCATGGACGGTCACAGGACCCACATTGCGTTTCCCGCCAAATTTCTTCGCGCCAAACTCCGCCTCGTGGACGACAAGGCTCTCTGCGCACCTTCGCAGACGAACAACGTGTGCACGAGAGATTGTGGGCAGAGAGCGGCACACAGACTTCGAAGGTTGCAGGCGCGGAACGTCGTAGTTGTTTTCTCGATTTTGGAAGCTGCTATTGGCGTTTTTTCGAAGCACATGACTGCCAGAAGGGAGTCGTTCTCGAGCTTGGGTTGATCGCTCCGTGTGTTGTGAATTAGAGTCATTTCTGATACTTTTCTGTGAAACGAGCGTTTGCATTAATGTCGGAGCATGTACATGAAGCCGATTAAGTGGCTTCCAAATTCTTCTCCGCTATAGTCCGTATTCCGAGAAGCCAAAGGCGGAAATATAAGCCGTCAAGCAGCCGAGGAAGTAGAAGAGCGGGAAGTCCGCCGAGAACATAATGGTTTGTAGTCTGAATCGCTCCAGTTTCCTCTATCTGGCATTGCTCACGATGTAGTCCCGTCTGGTTCTTAACTTCGTCTAAATACTTTTCTCTTGCGGTTGCCACATTGGACCGCTTTTGCATCAGTGGGCACGTTCACTTGTGCATTGGCCTGCGTGCTTCTAAATGCGACTCTTAAGCTGGTTTGAACTGGGGGGATGGAAGAAGAATAGGATATGTTTGGAAGATGATTACTTCATGAGCAAGAGTAGTCTTGTGAGGCGCTTGTTGGTTGAAGGGTTTACAATCTTAATCGAATTTACTGCTTTTCGTCCGCAATTTAGCCTTATAGAGACTATTGCTTTCGTCTCCTCCGTGAACCAGAGAGTAATGTTCAGCCAACCGATGATATTTTTTGTGAGTGCAGGACGCGGACGAGTCTCCACCGTCGTCTCCGGAGTCGATTTCTGCTCGCAGCACAGAGCATCCCACAAGCAACCATGGTGAGGGCGAAAGGAGTAGTATGCACACTCCCTCAGGAGAAATCCCGGTAGACCCCGACATGCTGGTCGATGACCCTGGTGACGAGGAGGTCTCTGAAGGAGAGGATCTTTTTAATGACAACTTCATGAGGTAGTTGACGACCTGGCATGATGAGAAATGCTCAGTTTCAGACCTCTCGCAATAACTCATTTGATATATACTCACGCTTTGAAGTATTGCTTTTCGAACAAAAATAAGTCAAATATTTGATATTGTCAAAGTGTGTGTCTCCTTTACTTGTCACTACTAGATGTGCGTAGTCTATCTCCTGAGCGATTGTGGTTCATGAACAGAGATTACCAGCCACTAGGTACACAAGATCAGTATGAAGCAGAGGGAATTGATGACGATGTGGAAGATACTCGAGATCTTGCTCAAGTCATGGAGGATCGTCGTGCTGCTGATGCAGAGCTTGACCAGATGTACGGAGCAGCAACGATTGGTTCTCGTCGCAAGTTTCCAGATGCGCTCAACGAACCTGGTGAGATGATTGATTCACCACCCAGTCTCATTCGGACAAAATTGACTGTTAAACCACACAGATTATCCCAGTCCTTTCATCCAAATGGAAATGTCAATGTCGGAGACAATAGTCAGGCCACTTGGGGAAGTTTGTCGGCCAGTCATGAGCCGACCAGATTTGACCTGAAAAACACATTTTCTCACATTGTTTGAACAGGGGACGCTGATGAGGAGCCTCGTCCGAGAAGGAGGCCAAGACCCGAGCCTCCTTCCGTGTCCGAGGCGGATGATAATGCTGAGGAGGTACTCATCTCTTCCTTTCGTCTTATGAGTTGTGGAAGGAAGCGGTGGGGTCTTAGAGATTGTAGCTCGTGTTGGAAGTTCGTACATAGACGTACTTCTAAGATCTTCAAATGATTTTCTTCAAAGAGTCAAGATCTTGTCTCAGGTTCAAGCAGTTAATTGCTGGATTGGTTCCACATGCTTTGCGCAACTTTCAAACTTCTAATCCTTGTCAGGTATCGGACCGCCCTTATCCAAAGTCCTCGTTGGCTCTTTCTAATGAGGTCTATTACAGGAAGAAGAAGAAGAGATTGTTGACCCAGCGGCCGAGGAATACTTGTACAACCCGAAGGGCAGCCTGCGAGAGTGGATAGCAAGGGAGGATGTGAGGCGTTTCGTTGCGAGGAAGTTCAGGCTGTTTTTGAACAGCTTTGGTAAAGTGGATGAAGGCGAAAAGCCCTACTACTTGAAGCTTGTTGAGGAAATGGTTTCCGGTAAGTCATATTGCTTTCCTCTGGAGAACTTCTTGTCTAAAGACGACCAGTCAGTTGTCTTCATTGTGATCTGGTACTCACGATGTCCTTATGTAGGATAGCTATTTTGTCTATGCTTTGCGAGACAGTTCGATAAGAGTGTACACAAGCTTTCGTATTCAATGAGAAACTTGACTTGAATGTCCTCCACTTTGCTGTTGATAACCTCGTTGCAGCAAACTCGAGTAGCCTGGAGTTGGATTACGAGCAGTGGATCCACACATACCCCATGCTAGCCGTGTGGCTAGCAGACGCGCCAGAAGCAATGCTTGAAATCATGGAAGAAGAAACCGTGAAGTTTGTCATGAAGCATCACCAAAAGTACTCTATGCTCCATGAGAGGATTCATCTCCGCGTCGGCAAGTTGCCCATCGAGGATCAGATTCGGAATATAAGGTAAGACAAATTCCGAAGGCTCTCCCGTGCGGACAATGTGATTTTCAATTTTGTTATTCTCATTGTCATGCTACAGCCGGTTTTGTGCTTTATACTTGTCCTTCATTCAGAGAAGCCTTCGCAGTAATCGGACCATGCACTCTCCACTGGGTACCAGCTTATAACGTCCCTTTTCCCATGCCAGACAGATACATTTGAATACTTTGGTCAAGATATCCGGAGTGGTGACACGCCGATCTGGGGTATTTCCCCAACTGCAACAAGTGAAATACGACTGCAGTAAATGTGGAGCTGTTTTGGGGCCATTTTTCCAAAACTACTCTACGGAAATAAAAGTTGGTTCCTGTCCCGAATGTCAGTCACGCGGACCGTTCCAGGTCAATGTGGAACAGGTTAGTTTCTTTTAACTGAACAGTCTTGTTCTTACCGGCTCTATGGTCGCGCAATGTAAAGCACACTTAGGTTTCCCGTTGCCTCTCGTACAATAAGGCAGAGGGAGCTCCGGATCGGTCTTTTCATGGGATAGAACAGTGACATTGCAAGTCTCTGTTATCTGGCATATGCAGACTATATACAGAAACTATCAGAAGCTCACCTTACAAGAAAGTCCTGGCACAGTCCCAGCTGGAAGGCTCCCACGTTACAAGGAGATTGTGCTGTTGGATGATCTTATCGATTGCGCACGCCCTGGAGAGGAAATTGTGAGTAAACTTTGATATTGACCACTGAGATTCGGGAGAGATCGCTTGGTTTTGAACACATGGAAGTAAAAGTGGTACACGTAGTCAAACACTTTCAAAAGCTCTAACAGTTCCCTCCTTGATGCCCAGGAAGTCACTGGGATATACACGAATAACTTTGACCTCGCCTTGAACACCAAGAACGGCTTTCCTGTCTTTGCCACTGTGATTGAGGCTAATCATATAAGCAAGAAGCAAGATTTATTCTCTGCGTACAAGCTCACAGAGGAAGACAAGGCAGATATTATTGGTTTATCGAAAGATCCAAGGATAGGACAAAGAGTAAGCTATTTCTCCCAATGAGGGAACTCAATTCTAGTGCCTACTTCAACACTTCTGTTATGTTTCAGCTCGACCGTTTTCTCAGATGTGATCTAAATGTTAGGATGCAGCTTCACAGCAGTCGGGTTATATAACGCAGTTTTTTTCGTTCTCAAGTCAGCTTGTTCTCTGGGACAATTTTGCTCTACTTTTCATATTGTCAGCAGATGTTTTTTTTTTGGCGATGTATCCTGAACGTGCTGACATTCGTTTGCATACTAAGCCTTAACTTACGATTTCAGACCTTCAAACATCAGCTGACACCTTTTACTTCCACAAATGTTGAGTGTAGATCATCAAGTCAATTGCACCCTCGATTTATGGGCACGAAGATATCAAAACCGGTCTAGCCCTGGCAATGTTTGGAGGTCAGGAAAAGAATGTGCAGGGGAAGCACCGACTGAGAGGAGACATCAATATACTTCTTCTAGGAGACCCTGGCACTGCAAAGTCACAATTTTTAAAGTGAGAACATCATCTCAGTTCTATTGCACTGAGTGTGTACTTGACATCCTCAGAAATACATGAAGCTTACATCACCTAACATTACCAGTTTCTTCTTTTAGCTACTCTACATACTCATTTTTGGTGTTCCATGAGAATGAAGTAACCACATTATTATCTCCTGTAATTCTTCTTGATTCCGTAAACCGTTCTGTCCTTTCTCGTTGAAATCTGGTAATTTTGCGGAGACCACAGCTGTCAGCAATATGCTTGACCTTGCGTTGCAGATATGTGGAAAAAACAGCTCAGAGGGCTGTCTATACTACTGGAAAGGGTGCTTCCGCGGTGGGGCTAACAGCTGCTGTGCATAAGGATCCCATAACCCGTGAGTGGACTTTGGAAGGCGGGGCTTTGGTGCTTGCTGATCGAGGAATATGTCTCATCGACGAGTTTGACAAGATGAACGACCAAGACAGGTACGAATGAACCTTGCAATGACGTGGCTCATGTAACAAAGACATCTGGGTTGTCAGTCTTGAAGTAGACACTCATTAACAAGGAACGATAGCATCAAGTACCCAAGATCCATATGACAGGATTAGGAGAGCAAATCTTAGATCCATGTCTTTGCTATGCAGAAATTGCCTCCTGTCCATTTCAACTATTTCTAGACTTAGGGAGGAAGCTTTGTGAGGTTAGAGACGTTGACGTTTTTGCAGAGAGCAGGGTTAAATTTGAGACAGTTAGGTTTCGAGAAAGCTAATCATGATAAGCTAGCCCAGTCCTTGCAGTGTTCTCAGTGCACAAGTACGTACTGAAATCGCCTGTTCAGAGTAAGCATACACGAAGCTATGGAGCAGCAAAGTATTAGTATTTCCAAGGCCGGGATAGTAACATCTTTGCAGGCTCGATGCTCAGTGATTGCCGCAGCCAATCCTATTGGCGGAAGGTACAATGTTTTCTCCCGAACTTATTGAACGTAGAGCGTAGTCTGCTTTTCAAGTACTCAAAGTGAGTCCAGAGTCGCCCGTCAGACTTGTCGCCACGGCGCGGTGACAGACTTAACAAGAAAATCACAAATTGGTCGATGCCAGAAATAGCGGACTCTACTTTGTAGCAAATGGATCCTTTGCGGTAACTTTCAATCTTCTTTTAGAGATCGGACTTCATTATACATACCCAAATAAAAAGAATTCGTGCTCTCTGGACAGCGTCCTTTGTCGTCGAATAGAATTGTAGGAAAGAAAACACGATTAATACTGAACGATAGCTGAATATCTATCTTTCTGTCTGATGTATTAGAATCGTATTGTGTTCAAATCGCTTTCTACTCCGTTTTAAGATATTGTTTATCATTCAGGTATGATTCCGGGAAGACCTTTGCGCAAAATGTGGAGCTCACGGACCCAATTCTATCAAGATTTGATATTCTACGCGTGGTCAAAGTAAGATATTTCTCTCTTTGCAGCCCTTACTTGAGAACTCTTGTTCAGCCCAAATTACAGGTAGTTCTGACAGGTACATGTACTTACGACTTAGCGTAACTACATGTACCTGAACGCATACGCTCGTTGAGATATACGTCATCATACGAGATATACGTAACGCAACGTTTTCTCGCAGGATGTCGTTGATCCTGTAACGGATGAAATGCTGGCGAGGTTTGTTGTTGAGAGTCATCACAAATCCCACCCTAAACGAGCTGTACTTGATGATAACGGGTCAAACGCAGCTGTGAATTCCGACGAAGAGGTCAGGTCCTTTCTCTTGAAAATTGCTTTAATTTAATCACTTATCTTGGGTTCGTAGCCATTCCTAACGTGATTTTACGTCTCGAAACAGATTCTTTCTCAGGACATGCTGCGAAAGTATGTGACCTACGCCAAACAGAATGTGTTTCCAGCGCTACATGATGCCGATTTGGAGAAAATAGCCTTGGTGTATGCCGACTTGCGCCGTGAATCGATGGTGAGTTGTCTTCACAATTTCCTGTTCTGTTACCACTAAGTTGCGAATAGGTTTCGGACAGAGTGATTTTCTTCTCTTTGTCCTTTGTGTCTGAAATACTGCTTTGTCGGTGGGTCTACAGCACGGTCAAGGGGTCCCTATTGCAGTGCGGCATATAGAGTCCATGATCCGAATGTCGGAGGCACATGCGCGCATGCACTTGCGTACCTTTGTAACTGAAGACGACGTGGACATGGCCATACGTGTCCTACTCGAGTCCTTCATCTCCACGCAGAAGTACGGTGTCCAGAAGTCGTTGCAGAAGGTACTGCCTTAGTCATGGACATTCCAAGCAAGAATTGGTTGCCCAGTATATGAGTTCACCCCACATATGATTCGACGGAGGTTGATGCGTCTGAAGGTTCAGTTTTGAGTTTGATAACCATCAGACTGAAATGCAGAAAGGACCTGGGCATGCATTGAAGTAACTGATGTTTTGTAACGGCTTGTCCGCAGAGCTTCAAAAAGTACATAACTTACAAACTGGACTTCAACGAGTTAGTACTGCACCTGCTTCGTGGCCTCGTTAAGGACGTTTTGCGTTTTGAAGAGCTGGTTTCACGGTTTCACACCAATCGTTCGGGTCATGTTACCATCAAAATGGACGACTTGGAGGCAAAGGTAGGACAGGGAGCGAAGTCCTTTTGGTAATGAGTTCGATATATTCTGCTTCTGTTTTCTTTCCCGTTCTAAGTCATGTTTCTGACATCTCCTATTGCTGCAGGCCCGAGAATACGGCATCAATGACCTATCAATTTTCTACAGTAGTCGACAGTTCCAAGAGTCGAACTTTACTGCTGACATGGAGCAGCGAACTATTCAGCTAGCTCTAACGTAGTGCAATTCTCGCTTTACCTCGCTCTGTAATTTAACATGTAAATCCTTTAAACCTTGGGCTTGCCAGTCTCTGCCAGAAACGAGTTGTTGTCACCCCAACTGAGGCAGAGGAGCCGTTTAACTTTCACCCAAATGCTGCTCTTTAAGCACGACATCTGAATATCCTGGGCTCGTTGTGTGCACATCATAATAGGACAGTCCTCCTTCCCACATCTGACCATATTTCACCCTTTCCAAAGCCGGTCGCTGGAGACACTCTAATTAATCCAGCGGCAGAAGATCAGTATCTGCTGGACTCATATAGCCTTTCCTGTCTAAGTTTCAACGAGCGAGTCCATAATAAACGGGAGCTCTCCTAATTGATTTTCAGACTTGTGTAGACTTTTAAGAGGACGAGGGATGCGTTCCATGATCCAACAATTATCTCGACAGGCCCTTGAGTCAAAAACCTACTAATTTGTAGCGCGTGCTGTCTTTGAGTCCGGCGAACATGCTACGTCGTTCCGTTCTTCTGGAATACTGAACGGCATGCTGCCACTTCCAATTATTGGCAGCGTTCACACACCTCTGGCATCCCTGGTGTCTAGCTAATCGGGATTTGGTCACCTCAATGCCAAAATGGACGGAATATCTGAGAGAAGTAAACTTCACCTAATTTGAATTCTAATGCAAAACCTGTAACTTTTCATTCCTAGACAGGACGGTCTGATATGTTTATGTGAAATATCCGTCCTGATCAACTGTAACACATACGAATGTCTCATCGTGTTTTTAAAATTGAACATAATAAGATTTGGAAAAATACCATGACTGTTGTACTTTGTGTATCTCTTACATTTGAAATTACGTAGAACTTAAATTGTGTAACAAATTCTGCGAAGTTTCGTGTAATCCAATCAGATTGGAAGACAAACTAATGAGTGTACAATATCACGAATGTATTCAATCAAAAGAGACCAAGTACGACCCACTCATGTATTACAATAAATTGGATGAAATTACGCATGCATACACCGTGTAAAACTGATGAGACTTAAATAAAGTTTACTTGAATACTGATCCATATTCGCGTGAAGTCACGGCCATCTTAAATTTATCTTAATGCCGGAAAGCAAGCAGCATTCAAATTTTTGACCAGTAGTCGTTACTGTGACAAGTGCCAATATCGACAAACTCAACAAGATTTTTGCATAACTTGTGCTTAAACTAATTGCAAGTTTGCACATCAAAATATATGGAGAGACGATTGTGTCATTCTGTCTCGGTTATACTTCTGAATGTACGGAAGGGTTTACATCTTTGAGGGTACAAAATATAAAAATTTGGTTTATGATTGAAATCACTTTGATCCAGCAGAAAGCATGTAGATTAATGGATAAGTAGGATACTTTTGATCAAAAATTGCTTGTGATCAGATAGCAATTCAAATGGAGCTGTGTTGGGTAAGTTATTCTTCTCAACTAGAAAAGTTCGTGATAAAAGGTAGATGTTAACACTATTTGCTTTGAAGTCAAAACATTGGAAATAATTGAGTAAAGATTGACAGCCATAAATCTACCAAAAAGTACAAAAGAATATTGAGACATATATAATACAATGATTTTACTTTCTCGGAAACATCTGTTAGACATTGAGTTGAGTAAAATTTAAAGTGTGATGCCAAAAGGATCTATATTTCCTAGGACTATGTTATGTTAAATCTATCAAGTATGCGTTGAATATACTTGACTTGATTCAACCATAGTTTTTTTTTCCAAATCTCTATAAATATCTATCTATAATATTTTTTTGGAATTTATCCATATGTTCTATATTAATTAAAGACCTTAGTTGATTTTGGAATCTATTGAGTACAGATTGAATATTCAACAAAATGAGCATGTCATTAACATGATGTACTTAAATAATGAGATTGAAAATCTCATTATTCACTTCTTCATATGTACATAAAGATCATACACATGATTTCATTAGATCTCGCACTTCATTCTCTAGGAGTTTGTTTTGATATTTCAGGAATATACAAATTAATTTTATTTGACTTTTTTCACTCTTTTTTCCATCTTTAAATATAATATAAAATATAATTTAACAAGAGCCCTAGTTAATCCAATTAGATGATCTCCTAGTAAATTATTATGATTAAATTCTATCATTTAGTGCAGATATTTGGGAGTCATCAATGATAACCTAATAATTTAGTTTACGTTTTAAAAGATTTACTTCATATGTAAAGAAACTTTTTCTTGTGTCACATCATTAATTACATAATGATTACAATGAATATCAATTAATCTACTTCTTAACATCGGCCATGAGTAGAAATTATTTTTTATTGGTACAAGAATCTAGGACTTCCTCGACTCTTTCAATGATCTAGTTCATTCTTGTCATTTCATGAATATATACAACCTTGGATTACATACAATGCTGAACTGAAAGAAGAATATGAGGGAAATGACAACATTATGTTATGCTACAAATCATCAATCAACAAATAATTTAAATTTTTTGTAAATGATTGTCTGCTTTTCACAACGAAGCAATGCACAATATAATGACTGATAGGAGTCAGGCAACAAAAAGATTTTTTTTTGCATCCGTTATATCTTTTTCCAAATTTTGAAGATCTATAATGACAGACAAATACCAAAATGAAGCATAATGGTACAGATCCGATCCCACGATGACAGAAACAACCACAAAAGTCACGATTTGTCACAGAATAGCATACTATTAAAGAGTTTCCCTTCTTAGGTTAATGCCACTCCCAGAAGACACTACCCAGCTAGAGCCGAAGACGCGCAGAGTAGTTCATAACCACAACCACAACCTGAAACTTTTCCAATCAACACCTGTAGGAATCGTTTGCGACTCCACACTTATATTTCAGGGGCAAAACTTCCCAGCATTGCATACACCCCGACAAACTGACCCGAATACTCAGACTTGAACTTGCTTAAATCCCAAGAAGCTTCGACTACTCAGAACATTCCAAGCCGAATACACACAACTCCTTATGCGGTAACTTCGACAAACAGGAGCGCACCGTGCTCAATGTCTGGATCACACACCAGCACAAAGACACAGTGGATACAGATTTAGAGTCAAGACAAGCCAATTAACATAAAAGCCCCCCAAAGAAAGAGCCTTGGGTCTCCTTATTCACAATGGCAACTTTGGGATATCAACCGCCTGAGGCGAATCGGTCTCAGGGACTGTACCGTCCGATGTAGCGGTTACGATGTCATCTGAACTTACATCTACTCCTAGCCTACGCAACACGTTTACAATCTCTACTTCTACATTCTAGCGCGCCTCATTCAATTCTTCTGAAAATGTGTTAACTAACTCTACAATCTGTTTGTGTCCTGCAGATCCGCTGGTCTTGGCGCTCATCAAACGCCGCTCGAGCGAATCTAACTTCAGCCATTTCACCATTTGTAATTTCCACATCGCAAACCCGTTCAGACAATTCTTCTAACCGCAACTTCAACTTGTCGGTTGTCTCGTCCCGTAGCTGACGGTAGGCCTCATTTGCCTTTTCCATTCTCCTTTGCAACTCTTGCGATCTCATGTCCGCCTTACCTAACTACTCCCGCAACCGTCAACATTCCGATTCAACCTTCAATTTACATTCGACCTTTGAAGCTCTGGCCGATTCACAATCCGTCAATTTCTTGGCCCAATTCGCCAATTCCTCCTCATGCTTCTGGATCCGCTCCGTCAGACTTGCTGATAGCTCCTCCGCACGTCGGAATTCCGCCTCGCACTTACCCTCAATCTCTGAAATCTTACTACGAAGATCTTCTTCCGCCGTCTTTGCCTCTGCAATTTTGCCCCGAAGTTCTTCGGCGATGCAAACTTCTTCGGCTCTTCGGGCTTCCAATGTAGCAAGTTTCTCAATATGTTTCTTCTCTCGCTTCTCCGCAGTGGTGATCAGTCGCTCCGATCGCTTAATTGCCTCATCATATGCTTCTCTGGATTTCTCCAACTTCGTGAGTAAATCCGCTGTCATCTTCTGCCCGTTCTTGTTGGACTTGCGAAGTCCACCATAGGTCTCCTCCAACTTTGCACATCGTCCGGATTCCTTCTCCAGATTCAATTGCAGTACTTCGCACTCAATTTCCTTCTCCCGAAGTTGGGCTTCTCGCTCCTGCAATGTCACCTTCTTATTCATTATCTCCTTACAGATACTCGCCAAGACGCAATTCCAATTCCACAAGAGGAATTCAAGTCGCAACTTGCTAAGCTCGCGTCTGAAGGGTCGCAATTCTTCGTAAGGCACCTTCATGGGAACCAATTTCCGCACCTTGTCATCCTTCTTTGGCCCCATGTCTTTGATTCGCGTCTTCGCTGCTAGCAAGGTCGGTCGATTTCGCTCTTTCTCTCGCTCGTTCTTTCTTGCTCGATATCGCAATGTCGGCGCGAGGACTCCTCGTACTGCCCTTACCCTTGAAGCCCTAACATTGCCTCCTCCCGCGCCCAGTAGAATTCCCGACGCGTGCAAACGTCTTCTGGTCCGTTGCGCGATCCGAAATTGAATCCTATGTCTTCGTCGAAGACGCAGCTCTTGCAAGGTCCAGAAAAGGCTGCGCTGAAGATCCGAAGATCTTCGGCCGTAGACGAATTCTAACTAATATTGTCATAACTCCTCATAAGCTACTCATTCTAACTTGTACAACTACTTTCTACACAAATATCTTTTAGTTTTGTTGATTTTCAAAGAAAAACAAAAAAACTAGACACCACAAGATCTGATTACAAGATCATCAAATAGATAGATATGATCTTTGATTTTTGTGCTAGAATATTTCATCTTCAAGCTCATAAGTTTCAAAAAGTCATACAATTCTTTGCAATGAATCTGTAAGTCAAAAGTCTTAAACAACAAAGAATAGTTATCAACATTTTTCCTAGATTCCTAATCTTGAGCTTGCCATTAACCTCTCTTTTCCCAAACACATTGTCGTCATGTCCATCATACTTGACTATCTCATATCTCACTCTCCCAGACTTCATGGCATTCATCTTGTTATTTTGAACACTCAAAGTTTTACTTTGAACTATTAGAGTAAAAGATAATTCTTTTTTGTTCATTTACTTTTTTTTCAGATTATTATCCATCACATTTTGTTCATCTTCTATCTACATTGACACGTCTCCGTCTTGGACAATATCTTTCATTATATCAATCTCAATAACAATTCCATGGTTGCGCCTCTCTGTCAACTGGAGATCAACTTGCTTACTTTCATCCTCTTGTATTGCTACTTCGTCAATCTGCGGTTACAATTCTTATTGAAGTAGCTTATTAGTACCCTGATGTGTAATTTAATGAAATCCAATAGAAAAAAACACACCAATTTATCAAAAAATTGCATTTATCATATCCACTACAAAATGCTCTTCAATCACAAATTTCTATATCTTTACAAATAAAATTTCAAGATTCAATAACAAGAGAAAATTTGAGGCGGTAATATAACCACAAATAGCAAATTCTTGTAGGAAACACACTCTTTTTTGATTAGATTTCATTGACTGATAGAATTTGACAGATTTGTTCTAGTATGAGGGTCTTTAATGCTTGTGTAAACTTGTGGTTACATACTGATAATTATGACTTTCAACATCATGTATCAAACTTGATTGACTATGAGCATGCAAGAGAATCTAGAGGAACAAAGTCTCAATGAACTAAGTGAAATTCCACTCAGGCTGTGGTGCCTAGTTTTTTTGTTTTTCTTTAAAAATCA